GATTCAACTAATCGCAGCTCGGATGAAGTAAAAGACGAATCGTATGGGAAGCTTTTCAGACTCATTTAAAAAGTTAGACGCTCGGATATGGTAATAGTGACGAGTAATTTCATTCCCAAGTGGGTCAACTAAATCAAACTGAAAGGTACTTTTACAGATCTTACTATGTCGCGTCCCGGCAATCAAACGATAGTGACCATGTGCTATCATTGTGCCTAGGTAAACGTCTTCTCGACAAGCACAAACTTTAGGTATGATGAAAAGTATCGTCAAAAGTGGCGGCCTATTTAGTCGACTCAACGATGGACTTCAATAGCCCACATTACCTTCGGCCATGGTTGAAGAAGCTCGATAAAAGGCTGTTGCCAATTCTGGAGCATGCATTTTTTGCGTCTTAATGTACGTAGAAGAACCATTAGCAAGAAAACCATTCAAAGTTTAACTTAATGATGCAAAAGTCGAGAATATATTCCAGGTAGAAATTAACCAACCCTGAAAGTCATATCCACCCCAAGGTAGCTCCAAAGAGCTATGGAAACAGTGGTGGTATCTACCAGTAACTGAGACCAAGATGTTGTGAAAAGTCAATAGATTTCAGTGATGGCTGTTGAACTGGTAGCAGCGATAGGTAACGCTAGACAACTGTTCAGACTTATCAAGGGAACGTAAACAAAAAGTTGTTCCGTTTGTAGGATCCAAACTACGGTTTGGATGGTGAAGAATAGCCTTCCGGGGACTTTAGACACGCGCCCTTTCCCGTCGAAATCAGAACAAGTAATCGGGTAACTAGCGGTTCTATAATTCATAATAAATTTAATGTAAATCATTACCTAAACAAATATTATCACCCGGCTATTCAACCAATGATTGTTCAATCAATTAAATCTAAATTACAATAAATAAGGAAGCTGATAGAAGATGAGGAAAAATTACCAATCACAACAAATGAACGTTATTCTATCCTGACTGGATAGATCACACACAACAGGAGGAACCAATCAATATGGCTACCGCCAAGAACAAGTGTCAAGTAAAACAACGCAGATGCAGTTCAGGAAGAAACACAAACTTAGTGAATGCGTACTAAAAACAAAAACTATAACAAAAATACAAATATTAACAATTCAAATGTAATCAAAATACATAAATATACAACTAATGTGATCAATAGGAATAAAGTACAAGTATATACATGGAGGGATTTTCACCAACACACAAGACCTTCAAAATGGATCTCACACCGGCCCCCAAAATCCCTCCATACCACACAAGCTACCTCGATGCCTACGGTCATGGTTCATTATATAACATATTACGCCATAGGAACGAGTAGGACTTACAACAGTACGCCTACTCTACTTAACTACATTAATAACAACAAAGACTAATCCAAAGCTTCAAGGAGACCTGCTTCACCTGTTCTCTGATGATGAACAATAACAGTCGTGATATAGACCTAATCACTCTTCCCCAAACTCCACCCATGCTTTTGGATGAGGGCCTCGCTGACAATTCAATGTTTATCTTCTGATTCGACTGCTGCACAAACTTGCTTAACTCAGAAACTGTCCCCACGAAGCTTGACGCACTGACACTGTAAATCTCTGGAGGTTTCCTTCTTCTTCCAATAAAACGTAATAGAGCCATTAAAAATGAATCAGTAATCAAACTACACATCATTTCAATATGTACTGCCCATGTTTGCAAACAAGTAAACACATATCCATACCCTTTTTCTAATGATCTTCCTATGTGTCCTTGTTCTTTATGACAATGTCTAATCATCATTTCCGTCACTAAGTGTCGACTGGGTAAAATTACTGGATATCTAAAAGCATTTGGGAAATCTGAGTATCTTAGTCGACCTCCAACGCAGAGTAACCCATCAAGCATTATCAATGATAAACCTTTCAGATCATCATGGCTTACTACTTTACTGCTGTTTTTAAATTCACTAAGTAATTCTCCATACACTTCTCTCTGAACCATCAACAAAATCTTACGCTTGGCAATCTCAAGCTCTTTGACCTTTAAACATCCTAGATGAACGGATCCTTCACAACTCGGCAAACGAAGTACCATCAGGAATTCGATGAACCTTCTAAACCAGGTTACAGCTCTGACTAATTTCAACCACTCGGAATAATAAGAGAGAACAGGTGTCTTGTTGTACTTTATACTACTCAAGTTAACCACAGCAGTTTTTCTAAACTCAATATCGTCAAGAGTAGGTTCCGTACAGTCAGTGATTGTTATATAAAATTCGCCATGCAATAAAATAGGACATTTGAACCAAGATTCAAGATCGGTCATTTTTTGTATACTTCCTCTACATAATAATTCACTTATATGCTTAACGAAACTCTTTGCTTGATCACAAGTGGGAATGGATATCAAGCAATCATCAACATAGAAATTATTCTTGACATCATCTACAACATAACCATCATAACCGTCAAAGAATATTTGGGCCGTCTTATTCAGGGCAAGGTTCGCGCAAAATGGCGATGATGTGGCATCAAATGGATGGGATGTCATTTGAAACTTGGATGATTCCCTCGACATGTCTCCCTCTTGCCACCACAGAAATCCTGAAGCTCCTCGATGAGACTCAGGGACCTTCACTTGCATGAACATTTCTTCAACATCTGCAGGGATTGCAACTGCCTCCTTGCGAAAACTTATTAATATACACCTTAACTCAGCAGTGGTATCGGGTTCTTGATAAATCATATCATTTGGGGGAACCCCTGCAAACTGGGCGGCACAATCAAGGACCACTCTAAGATCTGGTTTTTTCATGTTTAATACTGCACGATGAGGTAAATACCGTCGAGGGCGATAATAAGACTGCAGATATATTTCAAAGACCCTCTCCGCATAAGTCTTAGTAAAATCACTTTCAGTACTTTTGATATATCTGATGTGCAGACTGACATCCTTCGACAACATACCCTTCAAACTTCGTAATCTACGGTTTGCTACTTCATAGTTATCCACTTTCATATCTGGATTCTTTTTCCAAGGTATAGAAACTACAAAATGACCGTTGCCGAAGCGCATGCCACCTTCCACAATCTTTATAGCCACCTTGTCGTCTACTGATAATGATTTATCACTTGAATAAGCATCTGAAAACTCTACGTCATAAGGCTTACGTATTTCGTTCTCTAATGTCTGTATCTTACTGGTATGATTAACAACTCTTTTCCTATATTCCGGGCATGATGGCTTATCATTTACGACGTTGCTTGTCGAGTCAGTGTGCAGCAGAGCGTGATGTCTCCTCTCACAACTGTCAACCTTACAGAGCCTTGTCATCTTACATTCATTAGCCTTATGTCCTTGTCTAAGACAGACGAAACAGATACCCTTGCTTTTAGCGTGAGACCATCGGTCTTGAACTGTAAGCGCTAAGAACTGTGGACATTTATCAATGGCATGGTCGTATGAACACACACTACATTTAGTTTTCATTGTCGAACTATTCCCTTGCTCGTCTTTACGTTATGTCCTTTTCTAGAACGGTTGAATCAATAAACACAATACTTCAAAACAGTTCAACTGGCTTTCAGATACACCTACGCATTCCACACTTTTATTCAACTTTGCTGTTGGCATGTTTTTAGGGCTAACACCTTAGTCAACTGACTTTTCAGAGATTGGCTTTTCACCAGAAGATTCACTTGGCTTACAAAATGCAGATGATATGGTTCTGTTTGGTGACGACGCTGACTAATACAAATTCTTTTGACCACCTGTTGTAACAAGACAAACACGCTTGGGACGCGATTCTCGCCCTCTGTATGCAAAATGTTGCCTCGAGATTGGATTGCATCAGTGCCTCACTTGACGATAGGGAGTAACGTAGTTGAGTGTGTCTATTGCCTCACTTGGAGTCTCACCAGTCCTGATGGTCTGATGTCTGACGAGATTTTGACACGAATTTAAAAGATTCGACTGGCTTTTGACAAATTTACTTCTTTCTGGTATGTGCGAGCTATCCAACAACAAGTTTGCTGTGCCGTAGTTCGCTCCATCGTACTTTATGGGTATGAAACATGGCCATTAATAATACAGGATATTCGCAGATCACCAGTATTCGATTATGAGTGTTTCGAAAGTGTTGCTCAAGCATTTTAAAGTCAACGAGTAAGAAGTGGTTGGGTTTGGGAAAAGGTACTAAATGAGCATGATAGATCAGCTGAAGAAATAGTAAATCTTCGTCAATTGAGGTGGTTGGGACACATGATGTCTATATCCTTACACAGCCTACATCGATGCACGATGTTGGCTGGTGCAAAAACCAGGTGGGAGGAGGCCATTGACGGCCAAATCAAAACACGGAACCACTCCATGACGTCACTTACGATTGAACCTAGCTATATTAATAGGTACAAACTACCTTGTTAGGATCCGTGTGATTATCGTAACCAATGGTTAGGGACTTTGAATGATATGGCTGAAGATCTTTTGCAATGGCTCAGGTGTGCCTATTCATTCTCTTCCCCAAGTCTATGAGACTCTAAATCCTTCATGGCTTAGTTCGTTTTTGTTTCACCAATTTATATTTTCTTTTCGAGTCGTATCTTCGATGCCTACACTTTCCTAGTATCACTGAAATTGTTACTACCTTCACTGTTCCACGATTTCTCTTGACAGTCTCGTCGCACTGTGCTAATGGAGTATGGAGAGTTGGATCGATGCACATACGTGTTAGGTTCCAAGTTTTGTTCATTTACTTGTTAAACGTCTCTAAATATCTTTCTCCAACGTGATTGAGGTAATGAATTTTGATAACCATCTTTGTTGAAAATAATCTTTACGAAATTAATCTGACATTTTCCTAGAAAATGATATAATTCTGCAAGTTTAAGTTAATTAATGTTGTTATGGTGTGTTTTAATACGCTTTTATTAGTGCCGCAATGGTTGACTGACGGTTCAGTTTACAATGTTAATTACTTATCCGTTTACTTGTTAGTGCGACAAGTATATTCTATGTTTGGAGATCGTCAGCTGTCTGTCATTAGTCCAGCTACCAGGGATAAGGAAGTCTTCAAATGGATCCCCTGCAGGGTACTTTAATTTTCTATTCATGAAACTGAATATCATGACTTTTCTTAATCTAATTCCAACATATTTCCTTTTCTAGCCAGGGGAAATCAAGGATGAGAACTCAGAAATTGTTGACGTTATTAGTTGGGTAGTGTCTGATGTCAAAGAAATGTCCGAAAATCCAGCACTGGTTGAGCTTCTCAAGGAAACGGACAGGAGCTCCTATGATGATGTATCGAAACTTTGTGATGTGTACAATAAAGCTATCATAGATCTTTGGGACATGGTATGATCCTTATCTTATTTTCGATTCCGTAGTGGATTGAGGAAAATACTGTCCCTGAATTTTTCAACCGAAAAGCTTCTCGTGGTCATGTTCAGTTCATTCTTCTTCAATGTTATAATCGAGCTGTATCAGATCCGGATAAACTGAATCAATATCCACCTTTTTCGCCTCAAGTGTATGGGGAGACTTCCTTCGAACTTATTTCACAGATGATCGACACGATCGCAGTTACTAGTGACGACGTATTTATCGATCTTGGGAGTGGTAAGCTAGAGTGATAATTTATCCATCAAATTAGGTGTTGGTCAGGTTGTCCTTCAAGTATGTGCCTCTACTGATGCGAAATTTTGTTACGGAATTGAAAAGGCTGAATATCCCGCTAACTGCGCATCGCGTCTTGACTCAACTTTCCGTCACTGGATGAGCTTTTACGGAAAGTCTTATCGACCCTACACGGTAACTAAATTTTATGCACCGTGTTTTGCTTGAATTGTCCCAGAAACTCTTTGACGAACTTTCCTTAAAATTCTATATTTTTATCAGTGTTTTCAATTGCTTCAGTACCTCAATTCAAACCCAGAAAAGTCGATTTCTTTGTGGTTTTTGATCTCTTTGTGCACAGAGGGAAATACAAGTTGATCTCTCACATTTTTCGTTATTTTGTTCTCAGTTGGAACGCGGAGATTTTCTATCAGCGGAGTACCAAGAGAAAATAACAAATGCTGGCGTCCTTTTTGCAAACAACTTTGCCTTTGGTCCAGAGGTGGATCACCAGCTAAAGCAAAGGTTTGCTAACCTTAAAGAAGGTGCCCGGATAATCTCTTCAAAGGCTTTCTGTCCTTTAAATTTCCGAATCACCGATAGGAATCTCGGAGGTACGGTTTTTTTGTAGCTTGTTTCACACGTTCTCTGGAGTTTTCGGATGATTTTTATTGTATGCTGATAAATGTTGCTCATAGACTAAAGTCTGTAACGTCACACTCTCGAAATGATTTATTTTACACGAAAGGTAAATCTTATTTAAGAGAGTCATATCAGTAATTTTCAACGTGTGTCTGATTCAAATAGCCGATGTAGATTGTCTTCGTAATTTGTTATTGATATTTTCAGCAAGGTTAATACAGCATAAAGGACTCGTTAGCATGATGTCGTATTTCTCAAGCTGACCATTCCTACTTATCCTAAAGATGAGGTTCTTTTATTTGTAGTGGAATATAGTTTAAAAGGCAGTGATGTATATATAAACGTTAAAATCAGACAAACTATTGGCGAAAAACAGCTTTATGGTATTACTGTCTGAAGTACGATGTAGATTTTTTTTTTACCGAAAACGCTACGTAAACTGATATATGTATACTGTTGATTTGTCACAATTAGATGATTTCAAATTCATGTGCTTATCTAAATTTTTAATAGCTTCAAATGATTCAGTTATGTCGCTTCATTGTCGTCAGTGAAGTGGAGATAAGGAAAAATCGAAATTAAAAAACAATGGTCTGGATGAAATAAAAGAGCGAACGACATCTGGCAGATCAGCTATAGCATTGGTAGATAGTCTTCAATAAACAGTGTTGCAGTTTTAGAGTGGTGTTACAGTTAGTCTCGAATGTAACGAAACACTTAGACACACATTTTTTTTTTATCGAAATGTTCCACAAATATGTGGAAAGAATATGAGGCGTTAAGAATTCTAAGAGTAATGCTAATCTTTGGAAAATATAGTCGTAACCCATCTTTGTAGATTTATATCCGTAAGTCAATTTTTTCGTTCTCCACATAAAACTCATTTAGTTAATCATAAGCAAAATAGAGCTTCATACTAGACTAATCGACTAATTTATATAATATCAATCTGTGTGATGTATTCATTGCTGAATTGTAGACTGCTGGTTATCTTTACCGGTTACTAGAAATGGTTTATTTGCCCAACTATCTAAACCATTTATTTAAATTGGACGTTATCCAAGTCCAGCTTCTTGTATTTAGCATCGAGCTACACTTTAGATGTGTAGGCTGTTAATAATACCACATGGTTTCCCCAACGAAAGTAGGTGAAAATTCCGAATACGAAGGTCTCTTAACGATTGTTTATTATACTACCTCCAAAGTTGCACCTTGATTTTTTGTCTTTAAGTTAACACCACTGTGACATATCCAAAAACGTTTTATACTCTACTACTATGAAATATAATTGGAAGCTGTTTCTGTTTACAGGCATTCTGTATTCTAATTTCTAAGGTTTGCGGTCTAATCTTCACTCTTCTTAAGAGTGATATTTCCGAATCTGTAGCGTACGTGAGTTTAAGGTTAACGGTTTAGACAGTTTCTAGCTGTTGACCTATATTATATAGGGTTATTACTTAATATTAGCCAGTCATATGTGTATCATTGCTTTGTACGGCGTCTTCCCTTTTGAAATCCCATTTATGCTAGCATATTTTCTCAAGTCTATTACTTTTGATTATACTCAAAGCTAAGAAGCAATCTTTTCATGGTTCGCTTACGCTATATATATATATTATTCTATTAGATATTGGATCAATCATGCGTGTGAGCTGTTTAAACCCAATCCAAGATGCAGTTTCATGGACTGACAAACCATTTAGCTATTATGTTCATACAATTGATCGTTCGCTGGTAAGTCTACTCTTGAATAATTTTCTAGTCTCCATATGTCCAAACTGCCCTAGTATTCGTTGTCTTGTGGGAGAAATTACTGATTCAGTTAGCCGTACATTCTAAGTAGACTCATTTAAGTTGACACCAGTCTCCACTCTACAGTAAATCACAAACGGTTTGGTTGTAAAGAAAGCAGCGTCATGCTTATCAAGGGAATTTAGTTGTCCGTCCGATAGATTCATTTTTGTAAGATCACTAATATCCAAGTTATTTGATTGTAATGTTAGGCTGAAAAATGCAACAAACAATACGCCGTATTTACCTTTCTAAGATATACGCCTAATAGCTGAAATGTCTTCACTTACCTAGCCAGGTCTATTTTTCTATTTGAAAGCTAGTATTATTTACCATATTTTCATTTAAAGTTCTAGTGTACACATCTATAGTTTACTTACATCTGTAGAGAGTTGATTTCATACAAACCGCTCTCATTTGCAATCGTTTAGTCTACAATTATAATAACATTAGTTTCTTAAAGTCTATTAAACCTATTTGATATATTTTCTGAAACTTATGTTGTATTTGAGTTTTCATTATGATTTTTACCGTTTGGATAACAATTGTTCTACTTTTGATTTGATTTTAGTTAGAACAATACTTTGCTCGTTTAAAAAATCCGAAATCTAAAGTATGTTAATCTGTTTATTTTCAGAGGTCCAAGGTTTGGATATGTTTGCGCTAACAATGTTATGATTTACGAAATTTATACTTTGTAGTCGTAGTAAAAATTGAACATTATTGGATAACTGGTTCTTTCTACAAAGTTGTGCGGGTTGGAAAAAATCTCAGACTGTCGTACCACTCAATTGTTTTAACAAATACTTCAAAGAGCTACTTTGGACGGAACATTAACCACATTTTCACTAAAGGTGTTGTACCTCGATGGCTTTTTGGATAATGCTGATAGACTAATATGGCAACTCAAAACTCACGCAGCGTAATCGACCAAATTTGTCATCTGTATCCTCTAATTAGGTTAAACGGCGTTTTGGGCATCATCTCAACTTGCTTAGTTTTCTTTTGATTGTCCTAATTCACTCTGCGTTCAATTTATTTAGCAATCTAAATTTGGTTAAGTTGGTCTTTCAAAAATAGCTACAGACTAATTTTACTGTTTAAAATTCCTTATCACGAATAAGTTTAGTTCGATGTAGTATGGATCCAAATCAATGTAAAAATTGTGGGTTCAACCGTCTGTATAATCGGGAGTTTCTCGTATTTATGAAGTAAAATGAAATAAAAAACATTTCCTAGTTCTTTTGAGTGGTAAAATCGGCACTATATTGTATGTATAGCATGAAAAGCCAGTAAGAATATTACTAGCCATTCAAACCGTTTAGCACTCAGTAATTCTTAGGAAAGACGGCTTATTGGTTAAGGCGTTCGACTTTCAAACAATAAGTCTCATGTTCAACCCTTACTTCACCTACTTAGGTTCAGGTGACTGGGTAGTATCATTAGCCTCTACACTTAAAGTATGGTTCATACCCAAGAACCTGGTAAATGAGTTAACTTACATTACTTAATTATTTGCTAGTTTTCTTTATTATTTATTTGAATACATAAATACCGGTACAAGGGGGCACCGAATATATATGCGCCACACTGCTAGTTTACCACAAAATGTTTGCATGCAATATAGAGTATAAGGTATCAATGGGTCAGATAAGATTTACTTCACATTATCATACTTCATAGAAGGTTAGAGTAGTGGCATAATGGTTAAAACACTCGGTTTACAATCATTAGGTTGCTGGCTAATATCCTACCCCACCTATTTCGGTTCTGGGGGTCGAGTACCATTTTTATTCTTCACACAAAAGCATACCTCAAAGCCGAGTACATAAACCTATTATTGGTATGTTGCGTTATTTGTTATTGCGGAAGAAAGGGACGAACAACAAAATATAGATATCGTGTCTATTTAAGTGTTATCTGGGTACCCAGACTACGGTTGACAAAGCACCGTTTTATGTTTGATTCATTCACTGAAAGCCAAATTGCCTCATTATCCTGATCGATGTCATCCCCAATCAAACCTAAAATCATAATCTCTCACTTCTAAGACCAATGTCTCATCCAATATTCAATAATAGGTGATCATAAAAAATTGAGGACCTCACACATCGAATTCGCGCTACATAATAATATATTCAAATAAACCTTCAGCATATTTTTAATGTTTACCTTATTTGTTAAATTTCAATTTATGAATAAACTTTTCTTTGTTTCTTCTCTGAATTCTTGCAAATTATAAATAGAATGAAAATCGAACCGTTCGTCGCGATCGTAAGGGTCGTGTAATTTCTGAGGCAACTATACAAGAAGTAAGTATCATCAGGTGTTCTCTAAGTTTTCCCTGTTGTACTCTGGAACTCACACGTTTAAAAATGTTTTGGCACAGATTCACTAAATGGGAATGATTTCGAGTATTTTAAGTTTGATGAAAATCAGTACATTTTAGTACAGATTTCGACTAAATCGTGATCACTTTATAATACGAAACATTGTTGTATCCTTGATTTTAGTATCAACTAAAATCCTATGGACTTAATATTTATTGATCTAACGTTTCAGCGCAATGTTCTATTTGTGGGACTTCTGTTTTTAAGAGTCACTATAGTACAGTGGGGTACTATTTCTATGTAGACAAAGATTAGTGTTTTTCTTTTTTTTTAGGTGAAGTATTTACATAAGTTTGAAATTTATTAGCATTTAATCTTCTGAACCATCATACTAAGCACATTTAAGAAATTTAATTGTCACATTTAATGGCCTGTACAAATTCATGAGACATCTATCATCTGTTGTCCCATTATACCATGAATCATTATTGTTTTAAAGGTATTTATTTAGAATTTTAATGGATCTCAAAAAAGTGATATATTACATACTGAGCCAATCAAGTTGGGGTTGTTTATGTGAAAACAGATTTTCGTCTCTCAAAGGTGACTTGTTTGTAACATTATTTGCTTCCTCGGGATGTGTTTGTGTATCTGTAAAAACATGTAATTTCGAGAAACAGCAGAAGACCCACCACTTCCATGTTATAAATAGACAAATTAACTTTTTTACTAACTGGTCTCCGATATAATACTTTAGTAGTAATAAAATTTAATTACTCATTTACTCTATAACTTGTCTAGGTCCATTATAAATTCTGATTTGGTTTAACCTGAGTTAATCCGGTTGACTGTATTCAAAAAACCACCACTAATTATGATCCCCCTGATACAATTTCCAAAGATTGAGTTTAATAGTCAACTCTTTATTGGTCAGAAAATTAGTGACTTGCAAGCCAATTTTCTCCAATAGTATATGACATTTTATTTTCTTCATTTTGTGTCACTTTATTACATAAAAAAACCCTATTCATCGAGTTAGTGACATTGTCGCTGGTTTCTAATAATACGGGGCCCATGTCAATTATGCTGTAGCCATCACTCGGTTACACTATATCATTGCGTCCATCTATCGATTATCATTCTACTCATTGATATTACCAATCGAAATTCACCTGATCAAATTGCAGAAAACTCTCCTCCATGACACCGCCTCAGATGGTTATGTTTAAATCTATCAAACTAGATATTGTATGGCTTTACATTTGTCGATAATTGTTGGGGATGTTAAATCACCAGAACTCAGTTGGTAAATGCCTTATCTTCGTAATTCTATTTTTAAAAATTAAATTTCTTGTATTAGTGCCAAAAGTACCTATTTTCACCTTCGTGTCGTATTTACCACTTGGGAGGACCTTAAGTGCTATTGGTTGGTTGTCTCTTTCAGTATACTATTGGTCATTGTGTCACTAATTCTCCGTTTCGTTCTCAGGTTAGGTGAACTCGTAATCTCTTCAAACATAGCAGTTACAGTGCAAAAAATTACATCGTTTATCAATTAACTGATTCGGACGTTTTAGTTGTCAAGTATTTATCTCAAAAGATAATCGTATCACTTGTACTTTTTGATAATTCGAATGCAATTCTTTCTCGTTTATTTGCACTCGATTTTTAACGGTTGGGCTGTAGGCTGAGACCTTACTCTATCTACGTTGGTAAATACTATTGGCTTGTTTCGACAGCTATGTGTCTCCAGCCCTAGTTCACAGACTTGAAATCAGTTGACTTGTTAAAATTCAAGTGACCCAAGTGTTCAGATCTCCACCTGGCAACATCCCTCTGCATCTCAAGCCTGGACTCAGATTGACCACATCGCGATCAGCTACCGCTGGCGTGGTTGTGTACAAGACTACCGCTCCTTTTGGAGTACCTATCTGGACTCTGGTCATGCCCTGTTCTGCGCCAATCTTACCTTACTTTTCAGTGGACAACGAAGTGATCGCCACCAAAGGATTGATGTCAGCAAGTTGGTTTCGACTTCTGTTGCAAGTAAGTATCGAACCGAGCTAGCTTCTAGGCTAGCTACCATTCCACCGAAAAGTATAGATGAGCATTGGTTGCAACTGCATGACGCCATGAAAATGGCGAGTAGAGCCGCTTGCGGCTTCGCGAAACGTCCCGCTTATAAGCACTGGGCTTCTTCAGGTCCTTGCAACTCATCGAAGCCCGTCGGTCTACTCCGGGTGATCGTGAGTCTGACCACAAACGAAGGCTGTTACGTAATGAAATCGGGCAAAGCTTGCGTAAGGACCGAGAAGCCTGGTGGTCGGAGCGTGCTAATGAGTTGGAAGCAGTAGCTGCATCTGGTAACTACCGGAAGCTCTTTCCACTCATCCGAGCCACTGGCAGCAAGAAGTCTGGTGTGATCGAAAAAAATTTGCGAGGATTACGGGATGGCAATCACTAGCATCCATCGACGTCTTGTACGATGGGCAGAATTCTTAGAAGGGCAGTTCGACTGGTCTGGTGCTCTGGCAACATCGGTCAGACTGTCCTGCCCTCCATGGCCGGTGACGACTGATGCACCAAATGAGGCGGGAGTCCGCAAGGAACTCCAACTCTTGAAACGCTACAAATCACCGGGCCCAGATGACTTACCTCCGGCCCTTTTTAAAGATGGTAGTGACTTTCTGACTAAGAAATTGACGACGTTGTTTACAAAGGTTTGGGAGCTGGAGAGTGTACCAATGTCACGGAATGAGTCGATAGTTGTCCCTATCTTTAAAAAGGGTTCACGTCGTTCCTGTAACAACTATCGGGGGATAAGTCTACTTCCGACTGCGTCCAAGCTATTGGCTTCCGTCATACTCTGTAGGTTGTTCAAAACCCGAGAAAGATTGACTCGCGAGGAGCAGGCTGGTTTTCGTTCTGGTCGAGGATGTATTGATCATATCTTCACCCTCCGCCAAATGTTGGAACACCGTCATACTTATCAAAGGCCAGCAATCGTAGTGTTTCTTGACATTAGGGCTGCCTTCGATTCGTTGGACAGGACTGTTCTCTGGGATTGTCTATTGAATAAGTCTGTGCCTGAGAAGTTTATTAACATCCTAAAGGCCCAAGCTATGCAATCCGCACTTAGTCAGTTGGCAATCAGTGTCCGTAGGTATGTTATGTGCTTTGCATCTTCTTAGTGCAAAGTCCTTCTACAAGATTGGCAGGATTCTAATCCTGTACTCACCCTGGATGGTGAGCAGATAGAAATAGTCGAGAAGTTGGTGTATCTAGGTGGCTGCATAAGTGCTGGTGGTGGCGTGAGTGATGAGATCAATGTACGTATAGTGAAAGCCAGATCGGCTTATGCCAATCTGGGCCATCTTCGGCGCCTTCGTGATGTTGGTCTGGCTGTAAATGGTCGGATCTACAACGCGTCGGTGAGAGCAGTTTTGCTCTATGCTTGTGAAACCTGGCCTCTCCGAGTTGAGGATGTTAGACGACTCTTTGTGTTTGATCATCGTTGTCTCCGAAGGATTGCTGACATCCAGTGGCAACACCATGTTAGTAATGCAGAGGTTCGGCATCGTGTGTTCTGGCACAGAGATGATAATGCAATTGGTGTCACCATCTTGAAATACAGACTTCGGTGGCTTGGGCATGTTCTACGAATGTCGTCCCAGAGAATTCCACGTCGTGCATTATTTGCGGACGCTGGAACTGGTTGGAAAAAGCGGAGAGGTGGTCAGTGTATGACATGGTGTCGGGGTATGAAAGAAAGCTACAAGGGGCTGGCTTGTGTTGGTCCTTCACGACTCCCTGGCTGGGGTCCTAGAGATGGCGCGACACAGTGACTAGAGACGTTATCAGATATGGCTCAGAATAGAAGCCAGTGGCGATTGTGCTGTAACCTTCTTTTACTTTCTTCATAAAAAATGGTTGTATCTTCCTTAATTGAAAAAATTCTTCCGATTGTACCTTTCCGTTTCCCCCATCATTACGATTATTATTATTATTACTATACTACCTTACACTGATCTGTTAGTTACTTCTCCTTTTTTTCTTTTCGAATTCTCTTTGTTTTTTATGGCGCATATATATATAGTGCCCTCTCGTACCAATATTTATGTGTTGAAATAAATAAATAAATAAACTATTCATTAAAGAACTAGGCTTTCAACCACTGTTGTGGAGGAGAGTTTTCTGCAATTTGATCAGGTGAATTTCGATTGGTAATATCAATGAGTAGAATGATAATCGATAGATGGACGCAATGATATAGTGTAACCGAGTGATGGCTACAGCATAATTGACATGGGCCCCGTATTATTAGAAACCAGCGACAATGTCACTAACTCGATGAATAGGGTTTTTTTATGTAATAAAGTGACACAAAATGAAGAAAATAAAATGTCATATACTATTGGAGAAAATTGGCTTGCAAGTCACTAATTTTCTGACCAATAAAGAGTTGACTGTTAGACTTAATCCTTGGACAACGTATCAGCTACTGTGTCGCAAGTTCGAACCCCGATTGATATCCTTCGTGTTGGGCAGCTGTTGTATCGTTAAGCTCTATATAAAAAGTGGGACCTCAAACCAAATACATAAGAATCTGTTAGTGGTAATCGAGTAGCACTGGTTATCAGATCAGTATATCGCAAACTGGGGTGTTTAGGTTCTTCAGTTGACTTCGGTTTCCTAAAGGTTTTTACTTGTCAATTTATCACGGTACTATATTTTGAGCTCAATGGATTTATTTTCAATGTCTCTTTACCACTTTGCACTTATTCCTTGCTGTTTCGTTTTCCGCGATCTACATATATTGTTTAAAATTTTATAGGGTTCAATCCAGTTAACACTAAATGCTAGCGATAACAATCAACATAACACAAATGGTAACGTCAGTCATAAAGCTAAGAGGTCATCAACTATCATAAAACATCGTTCGAGTACTTCCCGGTGCTTACCAAATAGGTCAGCATCTCTACCTGCAGTAACAGCTAGTTCTCCTTCAGAGTTGATCTCTGTTAAAGGAAGAAAGCTGAGTTCACAAAATTATTTATCAAAGAATGAAACTATTAGTCGCCAAATCACTAATGGATCCATGGTTGTGCATAGAATAAAACAATGTGAATCACCACATTTACAATCAGAATTTAAGCGTTCTCATGTTCACCATAAAGACAATCAGTCACCTCTTGATATCTTCACACTATCTAAGGATACTAGTAATGCATGTCTAGTTGAATCTCACGTTGATACACAACTAGCGTCATTAACTTCAGGTGGACCGATAGCCTGTGGTAATAATGAAGACGGGAAACAGTTTCGTAAAGTTATTCGACATTTGTTAGATGATCCTAGCGAATCTCACTCATTATCCAAGTCAGATAATATCAAACAGAGTGTACGTCGTAAAAGCAAAACAATTGAAAATGATAACAAGTTAACATTTAATTATCCAATTATTGATGATTACTTAAGTTTACATTCATCATCATGTCACGATCAGCGCGATAGTCGAAATTCTTCGTCATCACCGTATGTTTCTTCATTATCGTCGGCTAATCGATCTCCGAATTCTCAAATCGATGAAATCACTTCTTTGAATAGCTTGACAAAACGTTCTGATCTGGAATTAAAATCAGTTCAATCACCTGATCTTTCTATTTTCCCAGAAAATAAACTAGATAAGGGTAAGTTATTGTATATTTTTGGTTTAAAATATTCATAATAAGTAATAATTTCTGTCCAATAACTACACCATGATCTACAAATACTCTAAAGGTTGACTTGGGTTACTGAAAGCTTTGTTCATGAACAACTTTGGTGTCAATAAATGTGTTTATATGGTTGTGATCATTTATCAACCAAAGCAATTGGGTTATGTATTAGCTAGATCTCATTCATCTACTTTGGTGTATTGTACTGGTTCAATTATTAACAAGTTGGTAAGACAGAATGGTCAGATCACATTGTGAAGTTACCCTGATCCTGACCGTATTGGGAAATATAGACTTCCTCCTTGTAGTCTGTACAAGTACTTTCGTTCATTGTTGGGAATGATTTTCACCGGTGCAGATTAATCTGTTGTTACTTCTCCAAACTTTAAGTGTTGTATTATTCTACCTTTAATTACCCATTTCCCGTAACTTTCTTTTAGATTTTATTACTGTTGGCTTCAGCACTCTCATTCCTTTATTCAACTTCTATCTATCTGCTGTACTGATATGGTGTTTAGACCTGAATCAAGTCTCTGACGCACATTTCTGTAGGATTCTACTTAATTCATTGATCAGGTGAATAGAAAAATTTATTGGTCAGAAACGTGTAACTTCTTTGTTTAGAGTAACTACAGTTGTGGTAACACGTTCTTTTTTATGTTCTCAAAATCAAGTATTTTTCCAGATGTTTTTAAACAATCAACTCTAACAAATAACATAGTTTTTTAAACTAAGGAATGGACCTCTAAATAGGGGGTTCATTCATAGGTGAGTGTTAAACTGGGACGAACTGCTAAGAGTTGTTGGCTTAAGTTCAATTAATAGTGATTTTAGCGAAACTAAAACTTGTGTTTAAAAGTATGTAGATGGACAAACGTTCGTTATTAACGAGCATTCTCAAGTTCACAACCCAGAATGTTGTAGATAGTGTGTTGCGATGTAGGAGGGATAACTATAACGACGCTACAACACTGGATATAAAAACTTTTCTCTCCTAACCACAGTTACTCAAAATGATAAATCTTGTAATGATTTATTGTAATGAACCAAAGAATATTGGTTTACACCCAACTTAATTCAATTGTATATTGATTAAATTTAATGCTTATTATTTACAAAAATCGCCACGTGTATCAAATTATAGTAAGTTTACGAATACAGTGTCAAATGCATCAGAAATCGAATTCATTGATACTGAAGTTATTAGACAAAACCACTTTATTCTATTGTGGAGATTTTATGTTTGGTTTTTCCGTAGGACGTTATACTTGGAGAATTAGAGTCCCTAACAGTAGTGTGCCTTCAACACTCAAATTTCGAAAAGCTGTGATTTTATCTTGGATATTCGACTTATTATTCGGACTGGAATTGTCATATTGTTGTGGAGTTCTGTAATCCTCGTTTCATATTGTTTGGATTCTTACTTTATTTATTACAATAATCATAAATTCTCTTAAATAGAAAACATTATTTTATACAGGCTTTGGTGATTTTTAACATGAATTCTGTTTGATTTAATAGTAACATGCCTGCCGATTTTATTTTCACTTATAATCACGATTAGTGCACATGCGATTTTATATGTTTTGCACGATACACATAATTATGCTTGAACACTGTACTAGAAAAAACATCTATTTATCTAATTGCATATTGTTTAATGTTTTGAGTAGATATTTGTAGACCTATCAGTAACAGTGGATAGCAATCATTTGTGATATTGTATTGTTTATTCTTTGGTATTAGCTTTATGTTGTCGAGTAAGCTTTTCTTCATGATGTAATTGTTGAGGATGTTGAACATCCAGAAGGCTATGTACTTACTGGTTATTTTCGTTTTTGTAAATCTGAACTTCTTTTTTTTCAAACCCCAACCTCCTACGGGAATCATCCATCACTTTCCTACTGCTAGGTTGTTTTATTACATCTAATATTTGCCCCTATTTCAAGCTCCTTATACATCTGTTGATTTGCATATGCCAGTCTTCCTCGGTCTCAATCAACTCTTCTGTAATCATTTGGGTAGCCAAGTAGGATAATGTTTGGAGATGCATTTTGAAAGAGCTCGCTTTGTGAAGTCAATATAACCTGCTCCACATGAGCAACTAAACTGATAGATGCACATTGATTTGGTCCAAAGCGGGCGCTTATCTTCAACATAACTTCTGATCAAAGGCCGACTAGAAAAGATAATGAGAAGTTCAAACGAGTAGTACGTTTCCCTCAGAGATCTTGAAAGTCTGTTTTTCAGAACTTCTGCTACAATGCCTCCTTTAAACTGAATGATCATGAAGAGAGTGTTCTTTGGTGCTGCGGACATTCCTTCACGTTGTTGTTTTGGCTTCAGATTTTTCCAATGAACCAGTGTCTGCCGTAGTTTATCAAGTTCGTTATCGTTTGTATCCTCGTTACAGATGCGTCTAGCCGGAAGTTTCCTTCAGAATTATAAATATAGTCAAAAAAGTTGGCTCAATAGGAGTGTAAATAGGAAACTTATGTACAGAAGAGGCTATTGCTATCCACCAGTTCAAGCCTCACCTTAGCTTACAAAAACAGTATGTTCAATCCCTCATTCTTCCATGACCATAACCTCCCTTTCTATGTCCCAGTATCTGTCGTTTTTTCATTTATTTTGTCACTTCTACTCCTTTCCAATGGTTTCCACAACTACTAATTAATAATTATTATATTTAGTAATTATGTTCATAATAACTATGAATTGGACAATTATTTCACCTTACCAAATATTACATAATTTCCTTCCAATATCTGATTTTCAATTCTTGACATGCAACTTCAACTTCTTTAATTAATTGGCACCTTTCTGTCTCACTATAGAACACTATTTTAGCAAATGAAGTCGAAAAAATCTTTACTGAATTGCCTCCCTTCTTCCATGACGCAATGGATCTCATTCGTTATTTAAAAACATACAAGGATCCCGTGACAGTAAAAGAACTTAACGGGTTTCTAAGATTTTCTGTTAAGCTTGCTGTAACGTATGCTGGTATCACATTTTTAAAAAAGCTGTATAGACAAACGAGAATATACAAGACCATACTGAAAATCATTTCGTCGAAGCCATATCCGATCAAACCATCGTTCTCTTAAACGTCTTACATTAAATAATATTAATGAAATCAACTCAAGATTACCAGAAGTCGAACGAGATATTTCGTTGAGAACATATCTGTTTTATGACCTAACAGAAGGTGAACGTAACGCATTTGAAAATCACATACATACAGTATTAAAGAAAACGCTCAGAGGATATGAATGTAAAGTTGATGAGAAGTCTAAACCCAACGAAAGTTCACGCTTCTTTTCTAGAAATTCCTGAGAAATACGTCTTTAACTACTCTAATAACACTATCCACTACGCAATTACAAGCACCGTCGCTAGGTCCGAAATTCTGCGATGGTTCTACAAATGCCAGTGAGCTTAGCACAAAAATTCAGTTTAAAAGCCTGATCCATCAGACAAAAGACCTTGTCCCTTTATCGAACAAAGAACTCGAACAACTTAAAACCAATTGTAAATTGTTTTAATCAATATACCAATAAGAGGGTGACAAGTGAGCGACTATATTTCAAATGTATTCTGTATTCTTCCTGATATTAACAACAAAGGAAAAGTTCAAAAGGATGCTACAGATCAAAGTGAGCAGAAATCGACTAAAATCATTAAGAAGACGAAAGATGAATCGATTATCAGTGAGCATCTCTATAGAAAAGTTAGACCAACTGGATCCATTATATCACGATTATATGGCCTACCTAAATTACATAAGAAATATAACCCATTACTTCCTATACTAGATATGAATAACTTGCCATATCGTGCTGTCGCCAAATGGCTAGCAGAAGTTCTACGACCATTCAGAAATCAACTCAGTCGATACTTTACTGTTGATTCGTTTTATCTTGTTGATTCAGTATTAAGTGTTAACGTAACCGGAAAGTGGATAACGTCAATTTTTACATATGTACCTCTAACGGAAACAATCTACCTACTATGTGATTTTATTGAAAGTAACAAACCCGATGTTGGTGTTCCATTATACTGTTAGAAGGAATTACACCCTCTGCCAGGGAAGTCCTACGCACTGCCTTCTCGTGGCGGGGGTGTTGTTTACGAAAATGAAAGGATGAAAAGCGAATGTCCGGCGGTTTAACGGGATTCCAAACCAATGGTGCACATGGGCTCCAGTATCCTGAGGAAACCAATGGCGTATGAACCAATCGTTGGTCATCGGCTACCAAGGGACTACATCTCCTCACGATGCCCAACTGCATTGTGGGTCAGATCTTTAGGTCAAAGGCTTGGGGTATAGCCTCCTAAGGAAACCACCTGCTTCAGTCTGGGTATCCGGACAGTATCACAGCCCACAAACAAATAGGATGAAAGGACGATACTTACGGAAAATACTATTCTTGCTTCGATTAACAGTCAAACGATTCATATTATTATTATTATTATTATTATTATTATTATTATTATTATTATTATTATTATTATTATTATTATTATTATTATTATTATTATTATTATTATTATTATTATCATTATTTACTACACCACTTATTCACTTTCTTCTATTCCCACTTTGTTTATCCTTATTTTTCGACTTATACAGCACCTCGTCTATGGTGACAACTCGGTTCTATCTATACGTCTTCGAGTCACTGCCTACTTGAAAATTGTATGCTACCACCAAATACGAATACTGAAGCAGTTTTTCTGAAACCACGTGCACCATTCAAACTGACTGCCTTCAACGTTCGCACACTAATACAGGTCGGACAACAGATAGGGCTGGCTATGTCTTTGGAAAGTCTTAATATCGACGTTTGCTGTCTATCCGAGACCCGTATTCAAGACTCTGGTGAAGTACTACAAATTCGCTCTCCATCCGTCGCTTCAAAAGGGTTGTTTTACATGCGTTTATCCAGGGACCCTATGGAATCTTCGTC